CTGATCATCGAAACTTCTTCGTGAACGAACTCGCACAACATTAACGGAACTGATACCGCTGCGACGACCGAACTACTATAACCCGCTAAGGTGAGAATTAATTTGATCATCAGGTTACATTTAACAACACAAGTCAGAAACGTGATTCACAATTTTTTAGATTATACCATATGGGCTAAACCTTCAGCAACAAAATTGCACAAAGCTCCACACATGACATGATATATTCCAAAATGCCTACCTGATAAACGATTGTTCTACAGCGAAGCAGCGGCCAAAAATGGATTGTGCTGCAGTGGGTGTCAACAATGTGCTCTGTATCGCATAAATTGGGTTAGAGAATCGATTCCGTAGAAAGGACAGTCTTTGCCTTAACCGTGAATTCCCTTCGGTTAAGCAATTAACCAATCGTTTGCTTCAGTGCAACCAGCCCAGAAATTGTTGAAAATCTCTGACTTGCGAAAATCAGGTCAGCATGATGTTTTGGTGCGTACATACCAGAATATGCGATAGAAACGGTTATGCTGTAAAATACGACCGTCTCACGGATCTGTATTTCGCCTCGACCCACATGGTAGCTGTTCATACAATGGAATAATCGTCAGAAAACTTAAGCTTGTTATTATTATTGGATGGATTGTGCAAATGAAAAACATTGCCGTAACTGTAGTAAGATATTTTCAAAATGGAGGGGGCGAAACAACCCTCACATATTACATCCGTTACGTCTCTTGAAAGGGCTCCAGTTAATCAAACAACGAATATCTTCATCCGACAGTCGAAAGTTGTGCATGCGATCTCTCTGCTTGACTAGGAATAAAATCACTAGTCTTTATGGGGTCAAAGTTGTACACCAATAGGAATTAAACGAAATAATTCTTATGAGGGCTAAAGAACTGAAGCCACTGGCTTCACGCTTAGCATTTTTCAGCCGAACATCGAGTGCATTTCTCATGGAAATTACTTGTGCCTATTTATGATGTTGAAGGAAAACAGGATCGACTATCCTCGCGCGAGCCGCACACGAGGAAAACATTCACAAAGCAATCGGATAAAAAAATTAATGATTCAATATGGCCGCTTGCAACAATGATGCTAAACACTGACTTTTCTTAGTGTAGATCACAAAAATTTTGCGATATTAAACGCCACGCGACTTTCGACCTCTGCGCAGATGTTGCGAGCAATTGCTGTAGCATTTCATCTGCAATTAGGTAAGATTTCAACGGAAACAGAGAAAACCAATGGTTTTCATCGATTTATAATGGATTTACGATATTGTTTATGTCGGCATTCGCAAAGTTTCTAGAGTCAGCTGTAGAGAGATTCTTCGCCTTTTTCGAAGACGTTATTGCCGATTTAAACATTTTGGTTTTTGGTGGAACGGCGAAACCTGTGAATATCATAGAGTCAGACAGCATTTGACGCTGAATAGGTGAAACTCTCTCGATCACCGTGGCTAGATTCAAGTTTTATTATTGGAGTGAAACGAGTCTTCGATACTAATTCAGTCCTAAAATTTGAGTACTTCGAAAATGAGAGCATGTCTACAGGCGGACAGTTCAATATTCAGGACTACGAAACTTTTGTACTGGTTCGTCGTCGTCTAATCTATACGACTACTCATGGATCTCTTCGTAGGTACGGCATAGTGGAATTTTACAGCATTTAGCTAGCCTTAGTGTTTATTCAATTTTTAAAAATTTCGTTAGAACGATCATTTCCGCAAGATATTTAGTCGAGATACGATCTGATTGCACTGATCAACGATCAAAGGAAGCAAGGAGCTAGTGCCATCGATCAATAAAAAGCAGCTGATGGCGCAGGGACAGAGAACAAGTTTGCATTTCCGAAAGTTTCTGCACATAATGGTGAACCCTATTTTACCCTGTTCATCGAAGCAAAATCTATCAATGGTGTTCTTGTCGAGTTTCAGCGAAATCAATCTTTTGCCGTGAAGTTTCGGAAAATTATAATGAAATTGTCGGAAATACTAGTTTTGCCTTCGTATTCTATCCTCGATGCAGCTGCAACATTATCTGTATAATTAAGATACGATGATAAAATATCATAGTGGACTGTAACTGATCAATAAAGTACAGTGGTACCTCGAGTCACGAACGCCTCTAGTCACGAACAACTCGACGCACGAACACAATTTCCGAACAAACTTTGACTCGACCTGCGTACGATGCCTCGACCCACGAACGCATAAACGTGACTTTGGGGTAAGCGGACAAAAGCCCCCGTGAACAGAAACAAATTTTGACTCCATGCGCGCATAATGCCTCGGCGCACGAACGCCTAAAGATGACTTTGGGGCAAGCAGACAAAAGACCCCCCCCCGTGGACGATAACCCCCGGACCGGTCAAAATCTGTTCGGAAATTGTGTTCTTGAGCCGAGTTGTTCGTGATTAGAGGCGTTCGTGACCAGAGGTACCACTGTATATATAAAATATTTTTGCATTAAATTAACCTTCATTATAGCTCTCAAGAAAATGAAAAGTGTTAGTGACAGTGGTGTAAGGAAGCCTAAGCGTATTGCAGTTGAAACGAAGAAGGAAACAATAAGTAAACATGAGAATGGTGTTCGTGTTTCTGATCTCGCCAAGCAGTACGACATGGCTAAATCTACG